TTTTCTTGAAACCGGTAACAAATTTAAAGAGAGAGAGAGAGAGAGAGAGAGAGAGAGAGAGAGAGAGAGAGAGAGAGAGAGAGAGAGATCATATCCGGCCAAAAAACCGGAAGCCGAAACAAGGAGTGGGTGGGAACCATGTGTATTTGTGTATATGTGTGTGCTCATCTCCGTGTGTATATATGTGTTTGTGTGTATTCAGGCAGGATTACCTATGTTTATGATACTTCTGATTGTCGACTTTAGGGCGTGGGCGTTATATTTGGGTTTGTGGTGTTTCATTATGGCGGAGGAAGGGGTGGAGGATCACCACCTCCTACAGAGTAGGAGGTGTGTGAGGCCTCTCTCTATTCGATTTGATCATTTCATATTCCCGGTTTCAGTGGAATACTCCAGTAACCCACATATGATATTTTGTGAAAACTAATCCTCTATTTCATGTATTTACCGAGTTTTTTCCTCTTGCTATTCTGGTGATGTTTTTTTTTTTTTTTTTACATATATTTGTGAATATTTTATATAACGTTTTACAGAGGTGTCTCATGATGAAACTTAGAGAATCCTTAATATATTTGGTTAATGCGGAAGAATTGGGCATAATGACACATTTGTTCCTTATACTAGTTTCTCCCTAATTTTAGATGTCCATTTTAGCTTTTGGTGTATTTGTTGTAGTGCTTGGATGTAGTTCTAATTTTCTCCGTTCACTCTCCTTTTTCATAACATAAAGATGGTTGCGCGAATATTTGGTTGATGTTGAATTATTTTTATTATTATTAGTCTGCCAAAAGTCAATCCTCTTTTCATTACAACATGTGAAGAGTCGATTCCGCACGACACGGATGTGCACCAATTTATATTTTCGATATTTTTTCCGAAGTGTTTGGACAGGCAAATGATTGACCGTGTTGCACAATGTAACTCAAGGCCACTTTCACACCAAAGTGGCAATGGGACGTGTCACGCCACTTCTGTGTGAAAGGTTTCATATATTTTCGGATGTTTGTTTTCAACTAGTGTCCCACGTGACATGTCACGTGAGGCGTGCCACTTTGGTGTTAAAGCGGCCTATTGCTAACACTGGGATTAGGTGTTAGCTGTTTTAACAGAGCAAAGCTATTATTTAGCAGCACGGAAAGCGTTTGCGTGGTGTGGCCACTCATTTGCCTTATATTACCTTAGAATCTTAACCCAACAACTTCATCTGTATTGTATGCCGTTTTATATATTTCCATTAATCTCCATTATGGGGTGGACACTGATAGGACTGAGCTTGGGAATTACGGAACATTCTTTACCTTAGTAAGGTTCCGAAATTGTCCTTAAGATTGAATAGCTAACTTTGGATAGAACTCATCTGGTTAAAGAAGCATGAGCGTCATATACCCTACTTAGCGTTTGTTAAATCTATCCCTAACGTAGTTGAATTCTAGGAGAACTCCCTCCGGGAAAATTGCCCTCCCTCCCGAAAAAAAAAACTACCTCCAGGACGATTACCCTCGAGATTATTGCCCCTCCCAAAAATACTCTCATTGATCATAGTTAAAATGGTAATTTTTTATCGGTTATCTTCAGTGGTAGGTTACTTAACCGAACCAAACCAAACCTAAAGTAACCTAACCTACCCTAAATATAACTATGATAAGTTTTTTTTTTTTTTTTTTTTTGGGGGGGGGGGCAATACTCCAAGGGGTAGTTGAGCGGTGGTTAGTTTTCCCAGGGGCAGTTGTCCAGATGCCATTTAGTTGAAGTCTTCTTCTTCTTCGTCTACATCTTTTCCCACTTTTATGTGGGGTCGATGTTGCTGGCCAGTTTTCTCCATTTGTTTCTGTACCATACCTCATCGCCCAGCAAACCTTTAGACCTCAGTGAGCTTTTAAAATGTGAAGAAAATATGTCTGGGAAAGGAACGAATCTCATTAGTAAATGCACTCCCTGGAGATAACGGATGCAGAAATGCTTTTAGTTAAAGTGAATCATGGCACTTGTTTATGTTGAGATTCTAGATACTTTCCTCATTATACCGGATTTTAAATTACCTTTTTCTCGAAGGCCCTGCTTTTGTTTCGGCCATTTTATGTACACCAAAGTGTGACGGTATTAAGTTGCCTACAAATTGAAGTGAATTAAGAGATCATTACCTGTGGTGTCAATTGATAGTCTGAAGTTGTTTTCTTTTTTTCCTATTTGGATGTGCTTTTGTTGTCGTTTTCTAGCTTTCTGTTTTTCCTTCAAATAGTCTTTGTCGTTTCTTTTAGTCTTTGGCTTCCTTTGAATGATTTCATTTGACGTTCGGTGCGTTTGATATTTTTTGTTTTAGTGAACAAAAGAAACATTTCGACAGTAGTTGTGATTCGTAATCGCCGGTTTTTCCTTTGACCTCTTTGACTTCAGCAGATTGGACAATCTTGATGTCTTTTTATGTTGATTAGTATATTGGGTAAATTTAATCACACCAGTCCATTCATCATCGCTGAAAATTGATTTCTTGTCTATAGTATGCGCTAAAACTCCCCTGATAATTACTTTTGCTGTTTGCAATAAAAACTAAAACTTACCTGATAATTGCTTTTGCTGTTTACAAGGAGAACTAAAACTCCTGATAATTGCTTTGCTGTATACAATGAGAACTAAGACTCCCCTGATAATTACTTTGTTGTCCGCGACTCTGAGGCGTCAGGTCGAAAGTTCGCGCCCCGTCACGGTCTGAGCTTAGCAAGGGCATGCACTCAGGGTAACAGTTACATCTGCCAAAACAAGTTCTTCGCTAAAAGGCAACCGTCCAAGCCCTTGGTTGAAAAGGGAGTCCGTGACGCAAAACCGGAACTAGTTTACAATGAGAACTAAAACTCCCCTGATAATTATTTTGTTCTTTACAGTGAGAGCCAAAACTCACCGGATAATTACTTTGCTGTTTACAATTAAAACTAAAATTTCCCAGGTTACTACTGTTAACTGTGCGATGTTAAGGAATCTTTTGAATCAGAAATTTTTATATGCCCTTTATTTTTCCGGTGAACGGAAATCTTCTTTAGAGTGTCATTAGAGTGAACAGTTATTTTTAGAGGTATTGTGTTATATAGATTTGAAGTGGATTTATATTCTCGTAACATTTGCACATACAGTTTGCCATGCTTTCACTCATCTTGAATCCAGATTTGTATTCTACATATGCGTTGAGATTTTTTCAGCTCTCGCATACATCTCAACTCTTTGAGATAGGTGTACTCTGCGCTTCTCACTCCCTTTCGACCTTTCAAACATAATTTTGAACTTTAAAGTCATATTAAAGCTTAATTGAAAGACCTCAAGCGACTAGGCTATGGCATTGATCAACTGACCGCCCCCCCCCCCCCTCTCTCTCTCTCTCTCTCCTCTCTCTCTCTCTCTCTCTCTCTCTCTCTCCCCCCCCCAGAATAAAGTATATTATAATAGGGTTGTTATATACAAAAGGGATTCTTTGTTGTATTCATGTGTATGTGAGAGAAAATCATAATTGTATCTGTATGTTAGCTAATAGTACTACTACTACTACTACTACTACTACTACTAATAATAATAATAATAATAATAATAATAATAGAAGGAGGAGGAAGAGCAGTATTAATGGCACTTTGAAAATTTAGAACAACGACTTTAAAGTTCTGCTTAGGACTGTCAGAGTGAAAGGTGTGTGTGTGTGTGTGTGTGTGTGTGTGTGTGTGTGTGTGTGTGTGTGGTGTGTGTGTAGTGAAAACCATCATCCAACCATTTAAAAAGTCATATGATGAAAATGACCTTCACGTCCTGAATTGCATTGAAGGTCAAACGGAGACGGGTTGAGAGATGACCTCATGACACTCATGACGTTTCTATTTTTATTTTATTTTTTTATGTTTGATTCCAACTTTTGGGTTACATTGTGTATGCTCACGCCCTTTTCTCCTTATAACTTAACTTCTAATCGACCTTAATGTATAGCAGGGTGAGTGGCAGGATTCTCTTTTCCTATGTGGTATAAGTGAATACCAGTGGTGTAGGTTGATGGAGCCAGCAGATTTTATTCTCAGTCAGTTTCAAACTTTCTTCAAGACATTCTTTGATGTACAAAGAAAATGAATGCTTTTGATGTTAAGGGGTGGAACCTTGAGATGTAAGTTGCGTTGCCTTGTTCGTCTGAGTGTGCGTTCGATCGTGTATGTGTGTGTGTGTGTGTGTGAGAGAGAGAGAGAGAGAGAGAGAGAGAGAGAGAGAGAGAATATGACAGTCGTGATAGGTCTTTGGCAAATAGCATGTTATGATCGGATTACCTCTTTGACGTGATGTCATTTTTAATTCTGGATTTAGGTTTTTCCTCTTTTGACTTTGCTTTAATTTCTTCATGTCTTTTATATTTATTGCAATCGTTGCATTAACGTTCTAGTACTCTAATAGATAATTTTCCATGCTGCTTCTTTGCAACAAATGTACTATCGGAAATAATATTCATTTTCAGTGCTCGTTGATTGGTCATTGGTGGGTTTCCGGATCTTTGGATTCATATTATTATTATTATTATTATTATTATTATTATTATTATTATTATTAACATTCTTAGTATTTTTTTTTAATAATTATTGTATTGAGTATGACATCTGTAATTTTCTTTAATGTGTGTTTGTATTTGTATCTCTGGCTTTTCGGTTATATTATTTTAGCCTCCTGCCAGTCTCTCTTCATGCTTTCGTCATTCACTTAAACCCCCCCCCCTTTGCTCCCATCCCCCCTCCTTTGCACGATGATGCTCAGTGATACCTCTCTCTCCACTTCCATCATTCCTCTTCTCTCATCTGTCTTATTCTGGAGATTTCTAATCCGATTAACTTTGGGAATTCAGGTGAAGAGGAATATGTCGACGTGACCTTGGGTGCGGTAACATGTTATAGATTTATGACTGAGTCTCTATTTATGCTACAGTTTTGTTTCATTATTTTTGTTTATTTTAGTTTGTCTTTTTATCTTATTATATTATTCTTTTCGGTGACCACCGTGGCCGAGTGGTAACACTGACGACTTTGATTCGTCAGGTCGTGGGTTCGCGGCCCGCCACGGTCAGAGGTTAGAAAAGGCATTCACTTAGGGTAAAGGTCGCACTTAGCAAAACCGACGTCCTTCGCAAGAAGGCACTGCCCTAGCCCATAATGGAAAAGGGAGTCCGTGGCGTAAAAGTGATCACATATTACTATTATTGAGATTGTCTAATTTTCTTTTTTGTTTATATTTTATTCCTCTTATCAAAGTATTAAGTTTGTACTAGTCTCCTTTTGTGGAGTATATCGTAATTTTGGTCTTGTTCTGTTATTTATCGTAATTGTTACTTAACTGTAGCTTGCCGATGAAGTTTTTTTTTTAGTTTTTATTTTTACCTATTTGATAACATGTTAATCATCTGACATTTGTCCGCGAACTTTGTTAATGTGAAGATGAATATTTTTTTAGTGAAATATTGATCATAGAATAAATAAAGCAATCCTGTATAAGCACTATTTACATTTTTACCTTGAGCATAATTCTCAAATACTAATTTAATTGAGTTTAAACATCTTTATTTTGCCCAAGATCACCTGGCAGTTCCCCAGATGAAAATGAAGAGGGCTTGCTTGTATCAGCGCTGAAATAGTCCTACTTGTTTTCCTAATTCCCTTGTGTTTACTGATATAGTTTAGAAACTTGTATGTTAAAAAAGTTTTATTATAAATATGCTAAATTAATTAATTAATTTATTTATTTGACAGTGTTATTTAAATGAATTTGTGTGATGAAAACTGCTGTAAAAATCGATACATTGTGCGTATTATATTTTATACAGAAAATATACTTCTTGAATGCTTGCAACTTAAGTAAGGGTTTGTTTGTCTAATAATTAAATCAAGTAGTGAAGATTTTTTTTTTTTGCGCTGCGTATTCCTTTCATTTTACATTGTTCAACCCCATTTTTGCTTTATAATTTTTAATTCCTCCATTCAACAGTTCAGGTCCTGACGTCATACATGGCACATCTAGTGCCATGTGTTATTGCCAATTTTATAGCTTATTACCATTTCTAATGAAGTGAAGAAAAGCGAGGGTTGAAAGTGACAACACAGTGTACCGGGTTTTCGTGGCACTGTGAGAGAAGAAGCAGTGCCAGTGTTGATAGAGTTGATTGACATAATTGACTGACAGGGCGCGCGCTATTCTGATGGAAGAAGACTCTCTGATAATATTATTAGCTTTGTCTATGTCACGTTTGTACTTATTTAATGTTGTTTTTATTATTTTCATTGATTCAAGAAGAGCGGATATAGCTGCATACGTGTAGTAAAAAAAGAAACCATATGAATTAATTTATATATTATGACTATTTTTGTTTATGAAGAATTGTTATATGCTCATATGAAATCTCCATGTCTCAAGCTTGAAGATTTAAGATTTTGTGTATCGTTCCACTCCTGTGGTTATGCCAGTATATTCTACGTGTCATATGTCACTTTTGGTGTCCACAATGGGAGTGGACGCAGACAGATTGGAGCTGGGGGATTAAGGCTGGATACCCTTCCTAACTTCTCACGGTGGGTTCGATCGTGAGTCTGTCACCACCCGAGTCGAGTATTGTAACTACTATGCTACCGCGGTTCCCACGCGAGTGGTTATGCTATTACTGTATTTAAATGATAAATCGCCTCTCTCTCTTTTCAGTGTTATGAACCTTATCAGTATGATTCTGTTTTATGAACCTCGTAATTCTAGAAATATTAAAACCTATTCCCCAAACCAAGAGAACTTCATAAATCTTCGCCTTTGCCCTTATCGCCTGAAGAGAATTTAGATATCATCAAATAAATACCTGTATCGAATTGTTGGAGGAATTTTCTGATGATTATGTTATGGATAGCTTTTAGTTCTTGGACCTCGACTAAATCTAAGTTATATATTTTGTTACACCAAATAATGCGGAATTTCTCTTATTATCGATTGAAGTATATAATATGCAGGAGGAAGATGGTTAGATCATTCAAAGAGAATACAGGTGTGTGGATATTAATTTGCAGTTATGGTGTATTCCTAGATTTCCGAAAGGATTTTTTTCTTGGTCTATTTGGATTAAAGATTTATTTTAGTGGTGTATCCAGGGAACAGAATAAACATGTCTGTTTAAATTCTCTTCAGTCTTGAATGTTTGATGCTTTTAGTTCCATAAGTAAGGTAAAATTTAAGTTTTCTTTATCGAGTTACCAAGTGATAAGGATTTAACAGACGCCTCAGCTGTCCATTCCACATCCTCATAGGCAATGCTTTTTTTTCTCTCCGGAACTTGTAGGTCTCGAATACGTGTCCTCTTTGTGTGTGTGCGCGCGCGCGTTTTTTTTTATAATTTTCTTGTAACTATCTCAATTCCCTTTTCCTTTCTTGTTGTTCCTGTTTTTCTGTGTCGTCTTTACATTCTTATCCCAAGACTTGAAGTATTTAGTGAATGTGAGAAAGTTTACGTGAATGCAAGTCCTTGTACTGCAGAATTCTTTAATGACCTCTTTTTCGAAGGTAAAGTTTGTCTAGGTCGGAAGAACTTGTTGGGAAGTTGTGGCACTGCGGAAATGTTACGGTATATGGAACAATCTGGCTTACACGAACAACAGTGTAAGAGGTGGATTTGGTGTCCGTTGTTATGTTGTGCATGATGTGTCAATTTCCACCCAGACGTTTTAACGGTAAAGAAAAGAAATATTTGTGGTTCTTCGTTTCTTAATCTTACAAACCTGGTCTACATTTCTCTTATGGGAAAGAAAAATTTGGTTTTCAATGGATTTCCTTCTATCATAATATTTTTAGTTCTTCGTTTCTTAATCATACATACCTGGTCTACTTATGCCTGTTGGAAAAAAATTGGTTTTCCTTACATTTCTTGTTAGTTATGTGTAGGTTTCCACCCAGGCGTTTCAAAGGATGGCAGTGATATCTTGTGTTCTCTCAGCTAGACTTAAAAGTCCTAGTGTATTTGTACTTATCCATGAGGGGATCAGTACCTTTCTCTTGACTGGTTTTCCTATTAAGGCAGTGGTAGATATCGTGTATAGGGTAATATAATGCAGATATTGGTTGGGGAGATTTCAGACTACAACACGCGTTGTGGTTATCATGAATGACAGTGGCGTCGCTGTTGTCGTCTCGGTTCCAGATTCAGTTAATTGTAGAAAAGTATGTGGCTCTGTCTCTGCTGCTTCGGAGACCTTGATGTTACTCTCTTATATTCTTTTGTATGCGACTCTCCCGGAACTTTTTAGCAAATATACATATATTGATGAAAATGAAATTCTACTTCTGCATATAAATATATATAAATAGCCTATTGTCTCATTTTCAAACTAAAGTATCTATCTTTGCTTTAAAGTATGATGTTACTGCTTAACTTCATCAACACACTTGTTTGAATTAAAATTTGAGATATGATACTTCTGTCTTGTGGTTCGTAGTTTTCTCATCAGTTGCCAGTGCCATTTTTCCTCTTTAGTTTTATCTCCCTTTCTTTTTCTGCTTTTTTTTTTCTGGATCTGTAACTTCTTTCTGTATATAATGGCTTAGGTCTGTTCTTTACCCAGCAAGTCTCGCATCCAATTCCTTAAGGTGGCCTCTGTAGCTTTTCTTCACCAAATCTTTTCTGGATTTTAATAACGAAAAGGTAGGGACGATCCTCTTGTGGTAGACATGTCAGCTAAAACAGATTAGTTTTTTGGGGTCACTTGTGAAATTGTATCTTCATAAATTCTAACCTAGATAAGGACAAAAATCTCCTTCCCATGGCTTTCGTATAAAAATTCTAAGTTCCAGTCCAGTTATTATGAAAATTTTCCCATCAGTTTATTAGCAGGCAAGATATGTACAACATATGGGAAGAGAGAGAGAGAGAGAGAGAGAGAATTAACAAGGTGTATTGTGGTGTTTTTACCTGATTCATGTTCATTCATATAAAGAAAACTTAGTCTCCTGGATAAAAAGGGGCTACGTTTAGCAGTACATTGAAATTTGTACTCGCCGTATTTTGTAATAATACTTCCTGATCTAGAATAGGAATAATTAAAACTGAAAAATGGTATAATGAATGAATAAAAATAAAGAAACATAGAAGTATGTAAAGAGATAAGTAAATAAAACTCCTTTTAAAAGAGCTTCTGGAACAGTGATTTGCCTGGTATTGTTCTCAGAGAGATATGTGAACATCTTTGAGATTCCTGGGCACAATGGAAAGAACCAAAGAACTTGAAACAAAAGATAAGAATATAAAAAAAAAGTAAGGAGGGAGTGAAGATGAGTCTCGGTAGTGAAAGATTAATGGATGTGTCGTGTTTGTAGGTATGTGTGTGTGTGTGTATGTGTGTGTGTGTGTTGGTACGGCCTCTGACGGATAGTTGTCCAGATAACCGAAGATAGATGGATCGAACTATAGTGTACGAGTAGAGGTTAGTTGGGATCCACCCATCCTTTCAATCTCGAACGATAGATTAAATGGGATGGGTGGAAAGAAATGGACATATTGGGGGCTTATCGGTGATTCAAGGATGGATAACAACCGTTCTTAAGGGGGAGGGTGATATTATTTTTGTTTCGGGTTTTAATTTTTTTTTAAGTGACGACTAATAATGAGGAAAGAATTTAACAGTAGTATATGTGCTGACATATTCTAACGTTCGTTTTCTACTGTATTAGTCATTCCTTTATGTATGTGCGTATGTGCAGGTGTGTGTGTTTTGTTAATGAAAAATGACTGTACCTGAATCAGGTCAGTAACTTTTGCATGATTATAAAAATTGAAAATTTTTTTTTTCTCGCTGTCATTATGTATTTATTTTATAAATATTGAAAAAGTTTGTGTGAACTTTTACTTTGTTGTTGATTTTCAAATATTTATTTTTGCATTAAATTCTTGAGGTATGTTGACTGCCGTGATTTATATTTCTTGCTAATATAACTTCTCCCCAAACTGTTTTCCTCTTTTGATGTCGGCTACCCCCCAATTAAAGGGGGAAACAGCCAAGGTATATGTATGTATGTATGATCGCCTGTGATATTCAATATATTTT